ACGTTTTGCTTATTTTGTTATTTGATTTTTCTAAGATTTAAAGTAACATAAATTAAGTTTCAGAATCGAGTCATTTTGCATTAAAGTTTGAATCCAATTTCGTCCAAGTTAATATTTTTGATAAATAGAATTATTTGTTGTTTGTTATAATAAAATTTAAAAATCAAGTTTGAGAGTAATTTTAGAATCGAGAAAAATACGTTACAACATATATATATAAGCGCGGTTTCGCGTTGAATATAAAAACGCGAGACTATATTAATAATAAAAATTACATTTGATCCGCGAACAACCCTTTATTTAAACAATTTAGAGAAAAATAAAGCGCGCAAGAGATCCGGAAAATAGAAAAGATGAGAAAGTGTCAGGCGAGAACGAAGGGCCTGATGCGCTGGAGTGGGGAAGGGGTGGGCCTAATGCACGAGAGAGCGTAGGCGGCGCGTGGAAGAAAGGAAAGGGCACGCGGAGAGAGTGGAGAGAGAGAATAGGAAAGCGTAGAGAGAGTGGAGCGTCTAACGCGGCGTGATTGGAGAAAAGGAAGAAAAGCGGAAAACTGTGAAAGGAAGGCGCTAGAAGGAAAATGGAGGAAAAGTACAGGTAAGCGCGTGGCCAATGGTTCAGCCAAAGCCAGGGAGGCATAAGGAATCGAAAGTTTACGCTCATAAATGTGCGGGAGTTCCACCTTCCTGATGCATCCCCGTTACTATGCGTAGTGATGGTATCAAATTGGACATTTGCTTCTCAAGCAATCTAGCCGTAAGTAGTTCGACGTGCGGGAATCTCTATTTCTAAACGTTTCGTGCTTCGCCAGGATACAATTATGAATTTGTAAATGTGTCGGGTCGCTCCATGATACTTTTGGAAATTCGTAAACGTGTCCAGTCGCGCCACGATACGATTATGAATTGTAAATGTGTCGGGTCGCACCACGATACGATTAAAAATTCTTAAAATTCAACAACATTTCGTGTCCGAGACAGTCCCTGATATTGAAAGTATATATGTGACGCTCCACGAGAAAAGGGACCTTACGTACTTTTGACTTAAGGTTCATTCTCTGGGTCAAGTCACTGTAATAGCGAACCTTAAGTCAAAAGTACGTAAGGTCCCTTTTCTCGTGGAGCGTCACATATCATAACATAAATTTTTTCAAAAATTAACTTGAAGTTGATAACTGGGTGCCACTTTCAGTTTCATTCTTAAGCTTTATTGTAAAGGTAAAAAAATGAAAAAAGTGTCCTTTCCTTTTCTACGAAATTCAAGGACGTATTATCTCGAAGGAATTTCACCGGCTTCGTCAACGGTAAGTGTTGAATACTATTTTTGGGATCTTCTTTCGTCTCAACGTCACCAATTTCACGTCCTCAATTTCACCAATAAATAATTTTACTTTGATACTTGATCGGACGATGCACACTATCGAAAGTAAATTAGAACATTATCTTTAAACTGGTGCTAAAATATTGGATATTATTAATGCAGCTATAAAAGGACAGTTACATCCAGCATTGATTACATCTGATCAGCTTTCACCTATTATGAGAGATATTCAAGACAACCAATCTAACTTAGGAATTTCCATTCGGGGTCCAAATTATAGTATCGATGAGCTGATTGAAATTTCGCATACTTTAATTGTGCTAGAAGATTTACACCTTAAAGTTTTAGTGGACATACCCTTTACAATGGAGCCTTTGTATTATATTTACAAACTTCACCCTTTTCTGTTTATCAAGCAATCCTAGGATGTGCTGCCAGGGCACCAACTTTACCAGCATTGCAAGCGCGGAAGGGGACCTCCGAAATAATCTACGAATCGAATGTGGATCTAAATTTGATGGAATTAGCACCAATTTTAGGACAGTGGAATGAAACAGGAATTGAATCGTCAACAAACCTACAAATTAAATACTACAAAAATCCCGAAACTCTTGATCAACTAGAGCAACAACTAAACGATCTATCTCTTCAACGCCTAGAAAGGAGTAAAAAATGGTAGACCTCTAACACATATGTCAACTATCTGTTAATTACTGCAGGAATAGTTGTCACAATTTATTACGTATATCGGCTTTATATTATTACTAAGAAAAAAAACCTTTTAATCCACTCCCCCTTAAATAAAGAACAATTGATTTTAGATATAATTGTTAACACTAACGACAAAGTAAAATCAACTTCAACAATTAACAAAATGAAAAACTCAGAAATAGCAACTCATTCTGAGTTAAGAAAAAAAGGTAATCGTTGTCAACGGTCTTCGCTGTTTGATCACAGTCCTTAAACATTTTAGATATATATATATATAAATATATATGGGTCATTCCACACGAAATCAATCACCTTGCGCTCAGAACACTTTTTAACGAAACAATTTTTTCAAAGCGGCAACAAATAGGTGATAATACAACATTTAAAAGGTCATGTGGTTCGATTAAAAATTCAACATAGCGGACAGTTTTTTGAAAGTGACTGTTATCGCTTGAATGTTACTAATCAGGGGTTTTCAGGGTTGCTGATGAAGAATCCGATGTCGGATTTAAAAAATTCAAAATGACGAATCCAATATGACGAATCCAATATGACGGACAGTTTTTTGAAAACTGACTGATATCGCTTGAAAGTTACTACTTAGGAAGCCTTATAGCAAGACTCGGGCGTCCGTCCGTAGTTCTTAAGTCTTATGCTTAAGACTGAAGCATAAGACTTAAAAATTAAGAATTAAGAAGTAAGACTTAGGAATTAAGACTTAAGAATTAAGATTTAAGAATTAAGACTAAAGAATTAAGACTTAAGCATAAGGCTAATAAAAAATGATTATGATTACTTTGTAAATTAAATTTACAATCGGTTTAATAATCTTTGTCCACGTGGAGATTTTTATATAATTGTATATAATATATAATTAAATTTATATATTCGTTTAAAATTTTTGTATTTATTGCTCCTCTCAAACCAAATATGTGTACATCCACATGGACTCTCTTTTGTTAATTTTTTTAAACTTGTAAAAATGTTCGCCTAATGAGGGCTTTACCAAGCCGAAACATGTTGCAAAGGACCCCACACTAAATACACAGAAAATGGTTTAAGGTTAAATTTGGCTATATTTTGAAAATTTTTAGTTGTAAGTTTCCTGATTGAAAAAAAAATGTCGAAACAACGCTGCGCCTAATAAATTTACGTATCTAACTTGGCTAGAAAGTCTTTGTTTCATCGAATATTATAGAAAACTTTTATTAAAAAAAATTCAGTGACCTCTGGACAATTTTTTTCAATCAGGACACTTTCAACTCAAAATTCTCAAAATATAGCCAAATTTAACCGTAAGCCATTTTTCTGTGTATTTAGTGCGGGGCCCATTTACTTTTATACTCATAATACTCATAATGATTTTTTAAAGAAATTGCATTTAATAACTGGTTCAAATCAGAATACTCAAGAAATTAAACAAAAGCAAATTATATACTTAATGACAATATTACAATATGTCGAAAATATTAATATTTGAAGATATAGAGTAATATTGTGATTTTATAATTTTGAAAATGTATATATATATATATATTAGGGCGTTTCACGAAAACCTTTTCTTTCGATTTTCTAAAAGCTTAACCCGGAATTATACTCTTTTTGACCCAAAAAATATGTCAGATTTTTTTCAAATTTTTTGAAGGTCATTTAGAGGTCGCTATTTTGATTTTTCTGCAAAATTTGTGCTTTTTCTTAAAAAAAATTTATTATTTTTATTTCTACATGTCCAGGTTCGTTAAAACTATGCAAATTACTAGTTCAGGTTACCGAATTAGTAAAAAAAATTATTCCGAGAAAAAAAAAAAATTTGAAGCTTATTTTTTTGACATTAAATGAAAAAAAGTCTATCTGCTGCAGGTTAAAAGTTACTTTTTTAAATTTAAAGCCGCTTAAAATATGTAATTCATTTTTCGATTTCATTTTTCATTTCATTCTTTCTAAAAAAGAATTATGTATTTTAAGAGGCTTTAAATTTAAAAAAAGTAACTTTTAACCTGCAGCAGATAGACTTTTTTTCATTTAATGTCAAAAAAATAAGCTTCAAATTATTTTTTTTTCTCGGAATAATTTTTTTTACTAATTCGGTAACCTGAACTAGTAATTTGCATAGTTTTAACGAACCTGGACATGTAGAAATAAAAATAATAAATTTTTTTTAATAAAAAGCACAAATTTTGCAGAAAAATCAAAATAGCGACCTCTAAATGACCTTCAAAAAATCTGAAAAAAATCTGACATATTTTTTGGGTCAAAAGGAGTATAATTCCGGGTTAAGCTTTTAGAAAATCGAAAGAAAAGGTTTTCGTGAAACGCCCTAATATATATATATATATACTTACTCAGCAATGGCAATGTCATTTATGTAACATATGTCAAAATACATTCAGACATAGTACCATTGCTGTGGGAAATACAATTTTACAAATTCATGCATTAATTTCTGAGGTATTAAATAATAATGCAATGGATTTAAAAAACATTATTATTTTTCTTAAAGGCAAATGTACTTCACACATGATTATTAATAATCTTTTTAAAGTTAATGGCTTTGGATTGCTATGCAATTGGAAAGATGGACAAATTAAAAGATTATTAATAATAATGTTGTCCAGAAAAGCATTTAACATTAATTGCAATGTACCCATGATTAATAATTACAATCTCATTATTAATCCGCATTATGCAAATATTCCAAACATAATGAATGTATGTATCCCATTATTCGAGTTTCAACATAAAATAGGGAAAATGAGTGAGAAAAGGGGGAATTTTTTAAAATAGAAGAATAGGGGAAACACTGTGAAGCCTGCTTTTGGCTTTGACAGTACAATCAATAGTTTGTCTAAAATTAAAATTTTAAAGAATTCTATAAAATATGAACGGACAATCTCGTCTTCGCTGTTAATAAATTTTAAGTACTACATTATGCTTAAAAATTACTAATATAATTTAAAAAAATGACTTACCCCAGGTGAATAGAACCACAAGGACTAAAGCTAATATTTGCACTTTCATCGACATTTTTAAAAATAGATACGACATTGTTTGTATCTAACTCCTTCTGTAATGGAATTAAAGTCACTAAAATTGGAGGTGCTTGGACACATCCAAAACCACGTTTAGCTTTCAATACTTCATCTCGTTTATTTTGACGTATTTGCTGTGCCTGATGACGTCGAGCTTCTCTTCCTAACTCGCCTTTTATGCGTTTTGAAAGAGTTTTTACATTAACCTTTCCTAAAATTAGAATATAATAATTTAATTTAATTTACAATAAATAATTTTAAAAATAGAATGCTTTTATTATGGCGTCCTTAAAAGTAATAAATAATAGAAAAAATTCTAGAACTGTTTAAAAGTTCAATAAAAAAAAACTTGAAAGAAATTATGTTTGACAAAATAAGTTATATCATTCCAAACATTTTTTAATTCAAATTCAATCAAAAAAATCATTACAGTTTTGAGTATATTTTGAAGTTTGATTTTTTTAGGTTCAAGAAAAATTAATTTGTAAAAACATTCGAAGTTGAAAAAATTTATCCATTGTAAAATTTCAACTTTAAATGCTTCTATAAATTAATTTTTCTTGAACTTAAAAAAATCAATTTCAAAAAATACTCAGAACTGTGATGATATTTTTGATTGAATTTGAATTAAAAAATGTTCGGAATAATGTAACTTATTTTGTCAAACATAAATTCTTTCAAGTTTTTTTAATGTTATTGAACTTTTCAACAGTTATACAATTTTTTGTTTTATAATCAGGGTGTTCAGCAAGAAATACAGAGAAAAATTCCATGACTTTTTCCTAACTTTTTTTCCAACTTTTCTTTAATAAATATTTAATATTAAAAAAATTAAAAGTATCAAATATTAAAGTATTTTTAAGATAATAAAAAATATTTTATTTATTAGCATTATAAAATTTTTCTTGTATCGAAAAATTTAAAAAATTCTTAAAAATGTTTATTTTTGGCAAATTTTTAAAAAGTTCCCTGACTTTTCCCTGACTAAAAAATTTCCCTAACTTTTCCATGACTTCCTTGACCTCTGGACACCCTGATTATTTATTACTTTTTAATTTTTTTAACTAAAAAAATAGGACTTTAAATGAAAGCATTCTAATAACAATTCTAGAAAATTTTATAAATTTTTATAAAATTCTATAAATTTCTATAAAATTCTATAAATTTCTATAAATTTCTATAAAGTTCTATAAAATTTCTATAAAGTTTTATCAATTTTGTAGAAAATTCTAAAAATTTCTAAAAAATTCTATAAATTTCCAGCTATTTCTGTAAAGTTTTTATAAATTTTCTTGAAAGTTCTATGAAGTTTCTTAAAGTTTTAATGAAATTTCTAGAAATTTTAGTAAAATTTCTAGAAAGTTCCATGAAGATTCAAAAAAGTTTTCTTGAATATTTTAGAAAATTCTGTGAAATTTGCTGTCTTGCGAAGTAAATATGTATAAATTTGAAAAATGTTTGTGTTTTTTTTTGGGGGGGGGTTAATTAGTGGGTGGGAGTTTAATAAATGTATCCATCATTATAAATATAAAATAAATTATAATCTAATTTTTAACAATATCGTTTATGTTTATTATGTGTATATCTATGTATACTGTTGTTGTTATGCGATGATGGACTGAATGACCTTGAAACCAATTTCAAATAAAAGCTTTCTAAAAATTTATTTGATTACAATAAATTAATTTTTCTAATATAATTGGTTCATTGAAATACATTTTTTGGTTAATTTAATTACTTATTTTGTTCGAATGTGTTAATGTGATATTTTATACAAATTTTATTAATTAATTTATAAGTTATTATAAAAATTGATTTCTAATTTATTATAAATTAATTTTTAAAAAAGCGTAAAATTACATTAATATTAAAAATTACATTTTATCTATCTTAATGTTTATTTTTATGCATTTATTTGAATGAACCAAATTTTTATTTTAATTAACTAAACTTTTTAATTGTGTAAAAATAGATTAATTAAACAATTTGGTTAAGTCAATAAATTAATTGAAAATAAAACTGAAAAAAAATTCCAAATTTTATTCCAATTATTTAAAAGGAAAAAAGAAATTAATGATATATTAATTTATTTTTTAATTTTATTTAAAAATGATATAAATAATCATTAATATTAAATATATAAAAAAAATTTATTGTAAGAGAATTAAAATACATTACTAGTCAATATAATACAATTATGGTAAAACTCTTGATGATTTCAAGTTTTTTTTTTAAATATCCCAAGTAGAAATATCCGTAGCTCGCCGTAATTAAACACCGGCATGGTACTGATCCAATACTGGCTGTCGGTATTGACTTTCAGTACTGGCAGTGTACTGACTAATACACCGAATCAGTACTATGTCGGAGGTAAAAAAATATTAAAACCAGTACTGGCAGTACACTGTCATTCACACCGAATCAGTACTATGTCGGTGATAAAAAACATTAAATGAAAAAGTCTTTAAATTATTCCAATAGGTAGAAAACGATGATTTTTTATTTAAAAAAATGTATATTAATTTCTTTCGAATACTTTCCCTCAAAATTTTGGATGTAATTGTAATGTATTATTATATACCTATATAAAATATATTTATGTTTTTTTAGTTATTTTAGTACTCATTGAAATATGTGCATTAAGTTATTTATCATGCATACAATAACAATAAGTTGAGAATTTTTTTCTAATAGTTTTAAAAATAAAGCAAATGTAATTTTTTCACTGTAATTTTTAAATATTATTAATAATTAAATATTAAATTTAAAAAATTTTTCACCATTCATATTTTACAGTCGTCTTTTATTAACTTATTTTTAATTATGTAATTGATCAATCATTTTTGTCTGTTTTAATATTATTTACGGTAAAAATAATTTATTAAAAATATTTAACTGAAATTGATATCCAGTTTTATTTCATTAAATCTTTGTAAAAATTGAAAAAATTTTGTGAGTTTAAAAAATTTAAGAATAAATTCATTTTATTTTCGTGATCAATAGATAATACAAACTTTGAAATCAAAACTTTTGTATTAGGTGAACTACTTCAAGTCAGCACTTCAAGCCAGCGCGGCTGTGCGGTATGCGTATCTGACTTGCGTTCTAAGGGTTTAGGGTTCGATCCCCCATGCGTGCGAGATTTTTCGTTCTTAGTTTTAAGTGTTATAAGTACAATATTTGTTCATGTGTAATATCAATTATTAAATAATTATTAAATTAAGTATAAGTGCAAAGTAAAAAAAATTAAATATTATGAATTTAAAAAAATAAAAAAATTTACAACACAAATTATTTTTTGTAAAATAATTTATTAAAAATAAAATAATTTAATTAATATAAATGATCATTATTATTTTAATTATTTATTGTTAATAATATTTTATATATTCTAAATAACATTAACTATTATTGGCTTCACATTACCTGTTCGTGGTAAAAATGGGAGTAATAAGCTAATAAGGATGAAATTTGCATTGGAAAGCGTGTTTTAGCATTTTGTAAAAAAGTGAGATTTTAAGTCCGGATGAGTACTTTGCCAGTATTATGCCAGTATTATTCTAGTACTACGTTAGTACTGGTGAGCGGGACAAAATCAGTACTGGACAGCGTTACCAGCCAGGGTTGGTCCACTACTGGCCCAGTACGGCAGTCAGTACCGTTATACTGACTGGCAGTGTTGGGTCAGTACTATGCCAGTGGCACATTTCTACTTGGGATGCAAATATTTAAAAATGAAAAAAAATTATTTAAATTATAGTCAAAAAGAATAATTTAATTTCATAATTTAAAAAATTTCTAAATTAAATAATATTGTTTATTTTAAAAATTAAAAACAAAAATAAACTTTATTTCAAGATAAATTAAATGAATATGATTTAAAAATTGAATGTTAAAATATTGTTCAATTTTAAAAATTAAATTTAAAAATAAATTATTTTTATAAATTATGTGTTATTATTATATAATAACAAAATGCTTTGTCTGTCCTTCTGTCCTAACTTGAAGTTGGCCTTTTCTGATTTCACGTGTTTTTTTGAATAGTTATCTTATGACTTGTCAAATTTTGACAATTCTTTTTCTCATTTTTGCCAAAGTTGTATAATTGTGTTTCCAAATTTCGGAATAAGTTTCTTTAAAATTCCAAAATTCAATTCACGAAGCTGAAGTACACAACGTTTACCAACGAAATTTTTTTTAAACTTGTATATTCATTCAAAAATTGTATACAAATACAAAAAATTTATGATGAGAAAAAAGATGCACCAGGAAATTTCGTACAAGATAGTAATTTGAAAAAAATTTATTTTTAAAAATTTATTTTTAAGATACCAGGGGCCAACGAATACCTATTAAATATTAATTATAAAAACACAGGCCTCGATCAACTTAAAGACACAAATAGTCGTTTTAGTCGATTTATATTCCAAAAAAAAGTGGATTTGTTTTTCATTTTAACAAAAATATTTTACAGATTTTTAAATAAAAAATTTTTTTTTAATAATAATCCTTTTCGAAGGGTTAAAGTTGAAATTTTTAGAAATAATTAAATTTCAAAAGATATTGTTAATTTTCAAACAATTATTAAATTTTACAGAACTAAAAATAATTTATCAAACAATTTTTGGAAAACATTTTTTAAATTTAATTGAATTTTCAAAGATTTAAAATTGAGATTTTTGAAATTAATTGAAACTTTAAGTGATTTTTAATTAAAATTTTAGATCATTTCACTAAAAATTTATTAGAAAATGCGGACAAAATACAATAATTTGAAAATCATTTTTAATTGAAAAATGGTTTCAGATAGTTGAATTTTCAAAGAATATTATTAAAATAGGGTCAGCCGGGGTAAATCCGAACGGGGGGTAAATCCGAACGCTAATTATTTCAGCTTAATTAAAATTTTTAAAAATAAGTTCGATATGAGAATTTTTACCTCAGATCCTCTTCAAGAGATTCTAAGTATTATCCCATGTTTCGTTTGTTAATTAGCAACAGCATAAACAAAGATAACGAGTATTGCAAAAAAGATTGAAAATCAAAGATGACACTCTTTCAGTATTTTGTCTCGTATTTCAAGAAAAAGAAGCTAAAAATTTATTTTATTATTTATAATTGTTTGTTATGAATACTAGAACAGAAACTATTTTTCATTTTTGCCTTCTGTAAAATTTTATTAATAATATCAGACCGTTCGTATTTACCCAGGAAAATTGGAAAACCGGGGTAAATCCGAACGGTATTTTCAATCATTTTTTTTTACATCAGAGCCACACAAAATTGTTTTTATTTCATTACACTATTATTTTAACATTATAAAAGTACATAGAAAAAAGTTTTTTTTTCTATACGTATCCTCGTTAGTAATTAATAAGCAGAAACTTAATCTCTGTTTTCTCGAAGGAGTGTTTCAATTTTTTTGCCAAATGGTTTGTTGAAAAAAGTTTTTCAGGATCTTAATAAAATTTGGTATTCTACGGTTTTTGGGGTCGCTAATTACCAATTTCAAGTCAGTTTTCAAAATTCAAAATGGCGGACGAGAATTAAAAAATTCATTGGATTCGCTCGAAAATTGTTACTCGGGGGGTTTCAGGGTTAGCAAATTTGATCATTTTTAAAAATAAGTTTTAGGAAAGTCCGCCATTTAGAATTTAAAAAATTTGACTTTTATTTTTGTATTTACATTCAATCACTCCAAAATACTTTCTGTACCAAGTTTTGCAAAAATCCGTTATGATTTGATAAAGTTATTGAAGGTTTTAATTGTGTAATGCATTTTAATTTTTAACCTGTTTGATTTTTGTATTTATATATGATGCATTATTACATAATAGGTTTATTATCGTATTTTTTTTGAGTTTTTATATAAGTTTAACAATTGCAATACATTAAATTTATTTTCCCTAAGATTTTTCTGAAATACAGTGGCGTTCGTATTTACCCCGGTATTTTAGGAAAGTTGCAAAATATCGAGGTAAATACGAACGCTAAGTTTCCTGCGATTGTAATTTATCAAAAATTTTTGCTACCCCATAAAATTGTTCTATGGAAGTAAAGTAACAACTTCATGCACCAGAATACCGGAAGTATTTTTTTTTTTAAGAAAAAACTTATGTTATTGTTGAAACTTACTAAAAGCGTTCGGATTTACCCCGGTTGACCCTAGTTAAAAATAATTGAATTTCCTTAGAGTTATAATTGAAATTATTAAATTTCAAAAAAAAAAAATTTTCGATGGAAAATTTTAGAAATAATAAAATTTTAGATGCTTTTAAATTTAAATTATTGAAAATTCAATTAATTTTGATTTCAAATTTTTGAGAATAATGAAATTTTATTTGATTTTAAAATTGTAAAATAATTGAATTTCAGTTCATTTTGAATTGAAAATTTTGGGAAATAATTGAATTTTAATTGAAATGTTGGGTAATAATTTAATTTAAGTTCATTTTTGATTGAAAATTTGGATAATTAATTTTGAATAGAAATTTCAGAAAATAATTGAATTTTATTTCATTTTAAATTGAAAACTTGGTAAATAATTAAATTTTAAATTGAAAATTTTGAATAATTATTGAATTTTTAATTGATTTTGAATTAAAATTTCGGGTAATAATTGAATTTTAGTTTATTTTGAATTGAAATTTTTAAAAAATAATTCAATTTTATTGTGATATTCTTTTTTAAATTATAAACAATTGTTAAATTTCATAAAAATTTTAATTGAAAAATAATTTTGATATAATTGAATTTGTGATGTATTTCATTAAAATTATTAAAAATAATTAATTTAGTGAAGAATCATTTTAGTTCAAAATTTGTTAAATAATTGAATTGAAGAAGATCTGAAGATGATCTACATTTTATAATAAAAAAGAGGTATTTTATTTACATTTTTTTCAAATGTAAAAAAAATGTCGCATTTTATTAAAATAAGTCGATAAAAGTCGTATTTTTGAAAAAAGTCGTATAATCCGAGGCCTGTAAACATATAATTTTCATTATTATCATTTAATATGTAATAATATTCTAATAAATTAAATTATTATTGATAATATTAATCTTTAATTTCTTTATAACAAACAATTAAAGACTCAATTTGGCGCGCTTGCGCGCGTTTAATTTTGCTAGTTATAATAATAATTATTATTTTTACTGTATTATGGGCTGTACAACATATAAATAAATTAATTAATTAATTAATTACTATAAAAAGAATACAGGGAAATTAAATGATAAATTAAATGATAATCACTTTTTGGAGTTAGATGAAAAAAAAACAAAAACCTTTATTTTAACAATAAAAAATATTCGAATTTTTTAAAAGTCTACAGTGACTTAATCTTTTAAATTAATATAAAATTACAGTGTAAATTAAATTATTTGTGACGCTCCACGAGAATAAGAAGTTGAGAAAAAAAATTTTAGGTTATGTTTGTGATTTTTGAATTGAAAATTCACAAATAGAAACAACTCTTAATGCAAATTACTGATGTTTAAATTTTCATTACATAAAAAAATATTTAATAAAAACTAATTTTTCTTTTACATAATTTAAGATGAAATAAAAGAAATTAAAGATTAATAATTAAAACAATGTAAACCTAACCTAAAATTGTTTGCCTCTAAAGTGCGTCTTTTTCCTCGTGGAGTCTCACGTATTTTAATTATTACATGAGCAAAATTAATCAATTAATGAAAAAGGTGAAAAAGGCAAAAAAAAAATAATAAAATGGGAGTAAAAATTTTTTCTCGTACAGGAAATTTATTTTTTTTTCTGAAATTATGAAAGCAAAAGAGCACGTTTTTCATTTTTTTTTTAAGAAACTAAAAATTCCAGTCAATTTTTTAAAAATATATTTTAGGCTTAAAAATTAAATAAGTTAATAAATTTTATTTGTATTTTTATAAGAAATTTAATCGATTTCCACGTGACTTTCGCCGGGTTGAGGTTATGTTAGGAAATATTAATATATTACCTTTAACCTCGTTACTTATAGCACCTTTACTGCGATGTCTGCCGGTTTTATGAGTTTTATTAACTTGTTTAAATGCACCAGGACGATGTGCATTATGTTTCGACATTTTAAACTTTTAAATAACTATTTAAATTCCTTTAAATAAAAAAATTAAATACAAATTAATTTATCATTTAAATACACGTACTGCACGTGTATCAACACTTTACACCATGTTTGATAAAGGATTCGCTCTTCTATTTTTTTTTATGTTTGCTTATGGTGATTCTTCAATAAAAGTCAATGAGTGCGCAGGGTTGTGTATCTATAACGTCAGGCGTCTGCTCCTAGTAAAATTTTCTAGTGAACTCGAAACTGTAAATGAAATGAATCGAGATATTTCAATTGAGATTTAAAAATTTAGATTCAGATTAAATTTTAAATTAAATAATTGAAATACATTTTCCCTCTATTTTAAATTATAAAATATATGTTTATATGGAACGTTCCACGTCAAGCGGAACAAATTTATAATTAAAACGTTATAAAAGTAGCAAAAAATGTTCAAATTATCTCTAAATTAAGTACTTTTAATGCTAAAGTATTACAAAATGAAAATATATGAATCATTTTTAAAAATTCAAAATGGCAGATCAAATATCGTAGAAAAATTGATTAAATTCGCTTGAAACTTGTTACTCGGGGGGTTTTCGGGGTCGTTGAATAAAAAAAATTGATTTAATTTGTTTGCAATTTGTTACCCTGGGGTTTTTATACTCGTTGAATACGAATCTAAAGTCAATTTTTCAAAATTCTAAATAACAGAGCCAATATAGCCGACAATTTTTTAAAATACAATAATTTGTTTTAAAAATGTAGGCAATATTGGCTCCGCCATTTTGAATTTTGCAAAACTGACCTCGGATTCGTATTAAGCGACCACGAAAACCCCCGAGTAATGAGTTTCAAGAGAATTTAATCAATTTTTCTACTATATTTGATCCGCCATTTTGAATTTTAAAAAACGATCCATATATTTTCATTTTGTAATACTTAAACATTACTAATGCTTAATTATTTGATATTATTTAGAAACAGTTTTTTTTAATCTTGTAAAATTATCGTTAATAACACAGCCACACAAAAAAAAAAAGTACCCGGGCCGAGGAATGAGACCACCATTTCTTGATGTATTTTGATGCGCTGAACACGAATCTGAAGTCCGTTTAGCTCCATCACGTCAGGATTTTGACATAACCTCAAAAAACATAGCTGATTTTAAATGACAGGAGAAATTTTTTAAATAATGGCAGATTTGTTTGAATCTTGTTACTCGGGCGTTTTTGGGGTCGCTGATTACGAATTTAACGTCAGATTTATAAAATTCAAAATGGCGGATTCAATATGGCGGACGAATTTTTAAAAAGTAGTTGGATTTTTACGAAAATTGGTATCTAGGGGTTTTGGGAGTCGCTGATTACAAATTTATCGTCAGATTATTCAAATTCAAAATGGCGGATCCAATATGGCGGACGAGTTTTTAAAAAATAGTTGAATTTTTATGTAACTTGGCCGATACTGGGGTTCCGAGTCCCTGCATCGTAATACGTTTCCTACGTATGTCTGCCATGACGGCATCAAAGCCATTATCCAGGGACTTAGCCGGATAGCGGACAAACTCCGTTGTCCACCGTCACCGCGTGGAGGTACCCTGGATGCAGACACATGTAGAAACATAAAGATATTTGACCACCGTATTATATCTGCCATTTTACATTTGAATAATCTGACGTTAAATTCGTAATCAACGACTCCAAAAAACCCCATGATACCAATTTTTGTAAAAATCCAACTACTTTTTAAAAATTTGTCCGCTATATTGGATCCGCCATTTTGAATTTGAATAATCTGACGATAAATTTGTAATCAGCGACTCCCAAAACCCCTAGATACCAATTTTCGTAAAAATCCAACTACTTTTTAAAAATTCGTCCGACATATTGGATCCGCCATTTTGAATTTATTAAATCTGACGTTAAATTCGTAATCAGTGACCCCAAAAACCCCCGAGTAACAAGATTCAAGCAAATCTGCCATTATTTAAAAAATTTCTCCTGTCATATAAAATCAGCTATGTTTTTTGAGGTTATGTCAAAATCCTGACGTGATGGAGCTAAACGGACTTCAGATTCGTGTTCAGCGCATCAAAATACATCAAGAAATGATGGTCTCATTTCCCGGCCCGGGTACTTTTTTTTTTTTGTGTGGCTGTGTAATTGTAAATGATATTTATTAAAATTAGCGTAAAAGTATCTCATAATAATATTAATTATGTGATTAAAATTATATTTATAAAACAACAATTGTAAATAAATAAATGACGTGACAGTAGGCGTTTTCCATATTCTCGCTATGATTACTCAGTTAGCATGAAAAGGTTCTTAACTACAATTTGTCATAAATCTCTTCAACTACCGCACCCTGTTCTAGTGAAAATTTAGTAACTTTACTGTTTAAATTAAAAGTTACTATAAAATTACTAAATTTTCACCAGAGCAGGGTGTGATAGTTGACGAGAATTATGACAAAAATGGCGAGTGGGGACAATGTAAAACAACCATTCCTATCAGCGCTCATTCAATATACGTGGTCATTTTTAGAATTACACTTCAATTCATAAAAATGGTATAAATATTTTTAGGAAAGTTTATAAAACTCGGACATCTAAACATCTTATACATTGTTTTTCAAATTTTCTGTCATAATAAACAAAATAATAAATTGCAATTATTTTTATATTTGAATTACGAAATTAAATTGTCAAAGTAAAAAAAATGGAGAATATTTAAACACATATCAGGTTTGTTGAATTATTTTTTTCCCCAAAAATTAAACTTTTGTTTTGTTTTGTCATTCAATTTAGATATATAGAAACAAAAACCAATTAAGGTCATGTTGCACATTCACGAATTTTGATATATGCGGAAAAGTGCAATGAAAAAATTCAAGGTCATCTAACATAACCTTTATCACAAAAAGTTTAAAAGTTTTTTTTAATATTTAAGAAAGTTTTGATTTTAGATATTAAGAAAAATGTTTAAGTAGAGAAAATATTATAAATAATTTAAAAATTAATTATTTTCTTTTTTGCTTTTTTTTACGAAAATTTTAAAATACGCATTGGCTTTTTGGTATGTTAATTGTTTTAAATTAATTATGTTTTGGGAATTTCGCTCAATTGTCTTTTCAATATTTTATAATAATACAATTTTATTAATACTCATTTGACTGAATTTGTTATTTAGTCGAATTTTTAAATACAAGAATTTTTATTTGTACTAATAATTGTCATTTGATAGAAATTTTATACACCAAAATGTCGTCTTAAATAAAAATTTTTTTTACTTTTACCTATCTACAAAAATTTAATTACTTAACAAATTTTTAACTAAAATTCTATGCTAAATTAATTATTTTCAATAATTTAAATAAAATTCTTCAAAAATTTAAGTATCTGAAAATATTGTTTAATGAAAATTTTTTTCTTTTTAAATTCAATAAAAATGTTTTCATTGTCTAAATAATAAAATTTCATCAAATCAAATTACCAAAAATTTAAATTCAAAATTACACGAAATTAAATTATTTTCAAAAATCTAAACTTAATAGTTAATATTACTTTAAACCAATAATTTACATTACCTAACTTTCAATATTTATTAAAATTTACAAAAAAATCAATTATTTAAAATACTAGAAAAATTAAACGCGCGCAAGCGCGCCAAATTGAGTATTTAATTATTTGTTATAAAGAAATTAAAGATTAATATTATCAATAATAATTTAATTTATTAGAATATTATTTCATATTAAATGATAATAATGAAAATTATATGTTTACAGGCCTCGGATTATACGACTTTTTCCGACTTTTTTTTCAAAAATACGACTTTTATCGACTTCTTTTAATAAAATGCGACATTTTTTTTTATATTTGAAAAAAAATGTAAATAAAATACATTTTTTTAGTATAAAATCTAGATCTTCTTCAGATCTTCTTCAATTCAATTATTTAACAAATTTTGAACTAAAATGATTCTTCACTAAATTAATTATTTTTAATAATTTTAATGAAATACATCACAAATTCAATTATATCAAAATTATTTTTCAATTAAAATTTTTATGAAATTTAACAATTGTTTATAATTTAAAAAAAATATATCACAATAAAATTGAATTATTTTTTAAAGATTTCAATTCAAAATAAACTAAAATTCAATTATTACCCGAAATTTTAATTCAAAATCAATTAAAAATCCAATAATTATTCAAAATTTTCAATTCAAAATGAACTGAAATTCAATTATTTTACAAATTTAAAATCAAATAAAATTTGAATTCAAAATTAATTGAATTTTCAATAATTTAAATTTAAGGGGGCATATACAGTCACGAGGCCAAAAAAGACGCTTTTTCTTGATTTTTTTTCTCTTAAATGGTTCAATATATTTATTTAAAAAGTTTTGCATGTTATTAGTAATGTTTTAAAGAAGAGATTTTTATTTTTGTGTAGAAAAATATTAATAATAATTTGCTTAGTTATTAACAATTATTTTACATGAGTTTAAAAAATCGATGTTTAGCGTGGACACGATAACAGATGCCATGATCATCTGAAATCAAAAAGCAAAAAAGATTTTGTTATTAGAGTCCTTTCTCTCGGGAGTGGACGAAGGAATTTCAAAAAAATTGAATTTTAGATTTTTTAGAAAAGTTTAAATTTTAGCTAGTGATTTTTGTTTAAACAATCGACTTTTTTTGTTGTTGTAAAATGTGTTCCAGTAATTGAAAAAAAAAATCCTTCGTCCACTCCCGAGTAAATCTTATCTAAAAAAAGTGTGTAAAATTTTAAAAAGATCGGTTCACAATTTTGTGAGATATCATGTCCACCGACTTTGAAAACACTGTTTCGAGAAAAACGCGTTTAAAGTTTTTAAAGAGGTTAAGACTCATAATTTTTTTATTTTTAACTTACTCAATATTTTCGATTCCAGGACCATAGTATAACTCCTCCAAAGTCTCTCCAAAGTCTAATATATCAGTTTGGTGCTGCCTCCGAAGAATTCTTGCCTCCCGCGTAGCAAGTTGCGCTTTTCGTTCGGCTTCAGATATTCTCTTCTCATCCGCTTGACAGGCGCTTCAAAATATTCTATCTCATACAATTTTCGTTCAAATCTATTCAAACCTTCGGGAGAAGTGTTTTGAAATGTTGTAGATTAATAAAAAAAAATATTTGAAAAATCGATTTTTTCAAAATTGTGACTGTATATGCCCCCTTAAAAGCATCTAAAATTTTCCATCGAAAATTTTTTTTTTGAAATTTAATAATTTCAATTATAACTCTAAGGAAATTCAATTATTTTTAACTATTTTAATAATATTCTTTGAAATTTCAACTATCTGAAACCATTTTTCAATTAAAAATGATTTTCAAATTATTGTATTTTGTCCGCATTTTCTAATAAATTTTTAGTGAAATCATCTAAAATTTTAATTACAAAACACTTAAAGTTTCAATTAATTTCAAAAATCTCAATTTTAAATCTTTGAAAATTCAATTAAATTTAAAAAATCTTTTTCCAAAAATTGTTTGATAAATTATTTTTATTTCTGTAAAATTTAATAATTGTTTGAAAATTAACAATATCTTTTGAAATTTAATTATTTCTAAAAATTTCAACTTTAACCCTTCGAAAAGGATTATTATTAAAAAAAAAATTTTTTATTTAAAAATCTGTAAAATATTTTTGTTAAAATAAAAAACAAATCCACTTTTTTTTGGAATATAAATCGACTAAAACGACTTTTTGTGTCTTTAAGTTGATTCGAGGCCTGTGTTTTTATAATTAATATTTAATAGGTATTCGTTGGCCCCTGGTACCTTAAAAATTAATTTTGAAAAATAAATTTTTTTCAAATTACTATCTTGTACGAAATTTCCTGGCGCATCTTTTTTCTCATCATAAATTTTTTGTATTTGTACACAATTTTTGAATTAATATACAAGTTTAAAAAAAATTTTCGTTGGTAAACGTTGTGTACTTCAGCTTCGTGAATTGAATTTTCAAATTTGGAATTTTAAAGAAACTTATTCCGAAATTTGGAAACACAATTATACAACTTTGGCAAAAATGAGAAAAAGAATTGTCAAAATTTGACACGTCATAAGATTACTATTCAAAAAAACACGTGAAATCAGAAAAGGCCAACTTCAAGTTAGGACAGAAGGACAGACCAAGCATTTTATTATTATATAATTTTTTAATTAGGAATTCTGTAAAATTTAATTATTCTCTGAAAAATTTAAAATTATTTTTGATAAATTAAAATTTTTTGAAATTCAATATTTTCTTAAAAATTTCAACTGTATCTCTTTCAAAATTCAATTATTAAGGGGCACATGAATATCCCATCAAAATCATTAGCTAGAACTTTCATTTGTAAGAGTTTTATTTGCCAGAATTTCTTTTTAGACGAATTTTCATTTTTCGAATTAGTATTTGAGTTACTTTCTTTGTAAACGAAATTTTATTTAACATAATTTTTAAATAAAGAATTTTTATTTGACATAATTTTTATTTTAACGAATTTCTTTTTATCCACCTTTTATTTAAAAGTATTATAATTTTACTCAATTTTAATTTAACAGTGTCGCAATATTATAGTGGGAACAAAGATATGAGACACAGCAAATACACGAAAAGTAATATATTTAAGTAAAAGCAAATTAACGCAAGAGAAACTTGCACATTGTACAAAGGATTACAAAGAACTGAACTGATAGAAAGATTAAGGAAACAACTAGAGACATCTTTAGACTAAAAAGAGTTTGAATCGAATATAGAGCCAAATTTAAATTGCGACACTTCCCCACGAAAAAAGCTCTTTTTAATTGTTACTGTCCGCACAATTCACTTTTAAGAGTCCCATAGCTTGAACACATTTATCATGACGCGATTTTGGTAAAAATTTTGTAAGCACGTCTGCCAGCATGTCTCCCGAACTCACATGCTTTAATGTCAATTGCCCGGACTCGACGACTTCACGAACGAAATGATGCCTCACATCAATGTGTTTTGTTCGCGAATGGTGAACAGGATTCGCTGCCAATTTTTGGGCACTCATGTTGTCCACGTGTAATTCGATCGATTCTGCTTCAGACACATCGAGTTCCAGGAGAAAACGTCGAAGATGAATGATCTCTTTGGCCGCTTCCGCCATGGCCATGTATTCTGCCTCGGTGGTAGATAGTGCGACGGTGCGCTGCTTTCTTGAATCCCAAACGATAGCACCTCCGCCGAGAAGAAACACGTAGCCCGTGTATGACCGCCTGTCGTGAATTGAGCTTGCCCAATCGGCATCTACATAACCAGAAATATCGCTACTGCCGTGTTTGTAGAGAATTCCACAGTCAATTGTACCTTTCAGGTACCTCAACACTCGCTTTGCTGCGTTCCAATGGAGCTTCCCGAAACAATCGTTGAACTGGCTGAGCACACATGCCGTGTGAGATAGATCTGGGCGCGTCGAAACGGATAAGTAGAGTAAGCAACCTACTAGTTCACGATAGGGAGGTTTTTCCCCGTCTGATTCCTCCCACACTTTGTCCTTGATCAGCTGCGTTCGTGGATCAAGAGGTGTTGAAACGGGATTACACTCGATCATACCGAAACGTTGAAGAAGACTGGCGATGTACGTCCTATGATTCATGAAGATTCCTTCGTCGTCTGTGATGAAATCCATTCCCAAACATCGTTTTACATCCCCGATGTCTCTCATGTCAAAGGCTTTCGATAAACCGCGTGCAAATTTCATGATCTTCTCGTTGTCCTGACATATGATTAGTAAATCGTCCACATAAATCACGATAATGATCAATTTCCCATCTTCGTATTTCAGGTAGATGCAGGGGTCTGACTTTGTTGGTCGAGCTCCTAGTTTCCGAAGTTCTTTATCCAGGTGTCTGTGCCAAACTCGAGCTGCTTGTCTGAGACCGTACAAGGCCTTTTTCATTCGGCAAACGACGTTCCGCGATTTTAGACACTTTAACATTTCTTCGGCCTTAGTCACCCACTCCCCTTCTCCCCTTCTTTCGTCGACGATGAACGCGAGTACTTTTTCCAAACACTTCGGCACTTCCAGAAAAACCTCTTCGTCTAGTTCTCCATTGAGATAGGCCGTTGTGACGTCGTACTGCCTTATTTTCATCCCTCTTTGTGCTGCGATGGCGATTGTCGTACGTATCGAGCTGAGCCTCGCGACTGGAGCATAGGTTTCGTGAAAATCTTTTCCGTGTTGTTGTAGGAATCCTTGTGCGATGACCCTGGCTTTCTTCTTTGTGATGGTTCCACTGTCGTCGATTTTCTCTCGCAGAATAAAACGGCTACCGATGGTTTTTATTCCTGGAGGTTTTTCTGCTAATTCCCATGTATCTTTGATGATGATTGACTTCGCCTCATCAGACATTGCCACCAACCATTCTCGTGACTCTGGACCAGTGAGAGCTTCTTTGATTGGAATCTCTGTCAAGTAGGCGATGTCATCTGTTGATTCGTCTGCAAGGGTTGCTGCTGTTTCTCTCACCTTTCTCGGTCTTCCTGGAAGTCCTGTTCGCACAACTCGTGGTCTTCCTCGTCTGTTATCAGGGCGTGGATTTTCAGGTGGAAAACCTCTGAAGTCCTCTTCGTCAGATTGTTCCTGAGCGTTCTCCTCCTGATCATCTTCTTCCTCTTGCTCGTTGAATTCCGGTGTTGAATATCTGCGAAGGTCTACTTCGATTGAATCCGATGGTATTCTTGTCTGTTCTTGAGAAATTTCGTTAACTGGAAAGACATCCCCAGATTGTGGATCCGGTCTGCGTGCGAGTCTGTCGGTGAATTTAACGTCTCTGGAAATTATCGCTTTGCTTTCGGAAATTACCCACACCCTATATGCCTTGGACTCCGAACTGTATCCCAGAAAAATTCCTTCCCGCGAACGAGGTTCCAATTTTCCGATACCAGGTGATCTATCCATAACGTAGACTTGACATCCAAAGCGTTTAAATTCGGACACATTTGGAATTTCCCCGTGCCAAATTTCGAACGGCGTTTTTCCTCCTAGCTTCCTCGATGGTGATCTGTTTCGTACGAAGTTCGCTGTGTTGACAGCCTCGGCCCAAAATTTATCAGGTAGTCCTGATTCAATCAGCAAACATCTCGCTGTATCCATGAGGGTTCTATTTCGGCGTTCCGAGACTCCGTTTTGCTGCGGGTTATATGGGGCGGTGAGTCTTCGCAGAATTCCGTGTTTTAGGAGTATCTCGTTCAAACTTTGATTTTCATATTCTTTTCCGTTGTCAGACTGTAGTATTTTGACTTTCTTCCCCTTTTGCGTCTCCACCATTGCACGAAAATTTTCAAATTCTTCAGCAACTTCACATTTTCGACTTAAAAATCTGACCTCGCACCAACCAGATGAATCGTCGATGAACGTGAGGATATAACTCTTTTTCCCGTGAGAAAGAACGCGCATGGGTCCACAAACGTCCGAGTGAATCAGATCTCCTACATTTGTTTTCCTGTCTGATTCTTTAGGAAAAGGGGTTCGACACATTTTTCCCAGAATACACGTGCTGCACTCGAAATCTTTATTTATATTGCTCACTGTAACACCTTTAATATTTCCGTTCTTGATCGCGTCGCGTAGATACTGAACATTTAAATGTCCCAATCGAGCGTGCCAATCTTCTAACGAATTTTTCTTCGGGGTTCGCGATATATCAAGATCCGATACCGTTCGACATTCTTGATCAACCGTATTTTTGAGGTAGTACAGTCCACCCTCTCTTTTTCCCGTGATCAAAACGTTGCCGTGTCCGTCAATTACTTTTGCACTGTATCTGTCGAACACTACACTATTACCTTTGTCGGTAATCTTTCCCACTGAAATTAGGTTCGACCGAAGATCTGGGACGTATAACGTGTCACTTAGTTTTAACGTTTTTGTGTTTTTCTCTGTGATTAATTTCGTCTCCACTACACCTTTGCCCAATATATCCGTGTGTGCACTACTAGCAAGGTTTAGCTTTCGTTTTTCGTTATCTCGATTCATTTCCACGAAACACTTTAAGTCACTACACATATGTGACGTGCAGCCACTGTCCAGACACCATTTCTTTCCCCCCGCACTCTCACCGGTTACGAATGACACATCCTTCGACGATTCTGGTTTTGTATACAAACTCACGTCCTCGGTGACACTTGCAGATTGGTTAGATGAGTTTTTCGTACCTGTACAATTTCTTGCTCGATGACCTATTTTTCCGCACTTAAAACATTTCATTTTTGAATCATTTCGCGTCACACTGTCCCTTATATTCTCCTTGTGTTGTTTACTAAATGCACTCTTGTTTTTGAATTTCGTAACAACCATCGCGTTTTGGGAAGATCTCTGATTTGCCTCCTTCCGCGCTTCTGATTCCTCAGTGACTTTAATTCGAAGAGTTTCCAGTGATGGCAGCTCATCCCGCGATGACATTGCACATCGGAAGTTTTCGTAGTCCTCCGGCAAACTTCGTAGAAACATGATAGCCAACAGATCTCTATTTATAACTATATCCAATTCTGCCAACTTATCAACGACATCGAGGAAAGACTGTGAATGCTGCCGAACGTCTTCGCCATTTTTCATTTTTAGAGACATTAACTGGTTGAGAAAAGCGGCTTTTCTCGCCGGTCCCTTGGATTGGTATGTGTTATCCAATTTGACCCATATCTCTCGAGCTGTTGTACAATCTTTAATAAGCTTAATTTCCGATGGACTAATTGCGAGAACGATATCCGACTGCGCTTTTAAATCGGCATTCGTCCATTGATTTGCAGCTTCTTGTGTCGTTTCATCATCCGCTTGAATCTCGGGTTTCGTTATTGTCCCACTCGCGTAGCCCCACGCATCATTTTTAATCAGTAGAGCACGCATCTGGAGTTTCCAGGTGTCATAGTTCTCTTTTGTGAGCACCTCGAAACGTACACCGGATGTACTCATTTTTCCCGATTACGCGAAAAGGCACGCTAACCTCAAAAATGCTCGTTACCGAAAAACGTTATCGAAACGAAACGCGATTACGTAGTTATTAGCGCACCTGGGCCCATAACCTGTCGCAATATTATAGTGGGAACAAAGATATGAGACACAGCAAATACACGAAAAGTAATATATTTAAGTAAAAGCAAATTAACGCAAGAGAAACTTGCACATTGTACAAAGGATTACAAAGAACTGAACTGATAGAAAGATTAAGGAAACAACTAGAGACATCTTTAGACTAAAAAGAGTTTGAATCGAATATAGAGCCAAATTTAAATTGCGACAAACAGAATTCTCATTTAACAGAATTTTAGTTATTCGAATTGTTTAATGTCACAATTTTTAATTTATCGAATCTCCATGTGTCAGAATTTTTATTTACACGAATTGTTATTTGATAGAATTTCTAAAACAGCGAATTTTCATTTGATAGAAATTAGAAATGGCCGAACAAACAAACGTCAGAAAGATTTCGGCGCAGTTTTTAAAATAGACCAATAAGAAATTATTAAGAAAATTGTGATTGGTTTATTTTAAAATTGGCGCCGAAATCTTTCTGTCGCTTGTTTGTTCGGCCATTTGTAATTTCTGTCAAATGGAAATTCTCTGTTTTAGGAATTCTATTAAATAAAAATTCGTGTAAATAAAAATTCTGACACATGGAGATTCGATAAATTAAAAATTGTGACATTAAACAATTCGAATAACTAAAATTCTGTTAAATGAGAATTCTGATAAATTAAAATTGAGTAAAATTATAATAATTTTAAATAAAAGGTGAATAAAAAGAAATTCGTTAAAATAAAAATTATGTCAAATAAAAATTCGGTATTTAAAAATTATGTTAAATAAAATTTCGTTTACAAAGAAAGTAACTCAAATACTAATTCGAAAAATTAAAATTCGTCTAAATAAAAATTCTGGCAAATAAAATTCTTACCAATGAAAGTTCTAGCTAATGATTTTGGTGGGATATTCATGCGCCCCTACTTTTCTGACAAATTAAAATTCGATGATATTGACATTCAGGCAAATTAAAATTCGATCAAATTCATTTTCTGCGCAATTAAAATTCAATTAAATTGACTTTCTGGCTAATTAATATTCTGCTGATTAAAATTCTATCAAATGTAATTTCTAACAAATTTGTTTTAGAGCTTATTCATGTGTCCTAAAATTCTTACTAATTTAAATTAATGGCTTACTTTTATCTAATTCAGATTTAGAGAGTACAGTGGTTTGAAACTTTAGATTTAGGTGGACAAAAGATGAAAATCGAAAACTTTAAAATAATTTTTTTTAGTGATTGTATATTCTATGGTATCTAAAACATTTTTTTTTTTTTGCATATTTAAATCGCTGAACAATTTTCTGATGTATCAATTCATGAAACAGCAAGAGAAAAACATAGCATGACCTCTTGCAAAAATTTTTCAATTTTTTTGTAATATATTTTTTGTAAATAATATCAGAGATATAGGAAATAAGTTGAAAAATTTATTTTGAAATATTTAATTGCATTAATTGAATGATTTCATTAATATAAAAAAAAATATTTTGTTTTTTTTATAGATTTTTCAATTTCAATCAATGTGAACAACTCAAGGAATCTCTAGAAGAAATACAAAAATCGAAAATGTCATTAAAAGAAAATCAAATTTTAGAAGCTGCTTGTTTTTCTGCTGATGTGAATAAAGTAAGAAATCTTCTCTCTCATAATGATTACACTGATTATCTTGATTCACTTAATGGCTATTCATTGCTTCAATTTATGCTTAAAAATTGTATATTTTCATCAGAAAAATTTGAACAATTACAAGTTACTCATGTGACATATATGAAGCATTTATCACAATTTCTCAAAATTTCCAAAATTCTATTACAATACAATATTCGTGTAAATGAAAAATCTCAAGATAAAATTAATACACCACTTCATCTTGCAATTGAAATTGAAAATGAAGAGATTGTAAAAATTTTATTATCAAAAAATGCCAATGTTAATGCAAAAAATCATAATTGCGATACACCATTACATCTTGCTGTTCGAAAAAGTTGTAAACAAATAATTCAACTTTTATTAGCAAATGATGCCGATACAAAAATAACAAATTTATATGGTCAAACACCACATGCTGTAACTAATGATATAAGTATGAAATCATTTTTAAATATTCATGAATTAAAAAAATATTTCGATAATGGTGGTGATATTGAGGAAAAAGATATTGATGATTATACAGCGTTACATAAAGCCGTTGAAAATGAATATTATGAAGTTGTTGAATTTTTATTATCAAAAGGTGCAAATATAAATGCAATGACAGAATTAAATGAAACGCCACTTCATATTGCTGCACAAATACGTAATAAACGTATTGTTATTCTTCTTTTAGAAAAAGGAGCAAATATTAATGCAATAACAAATACAGGCGATACTCCATTGCATTTAGCAGCAAAATGCCTTTATCCCCATGACAATGGTGAGACATTAAAAATTCTCATTAAAAATAATGCAAATTTAAAAGCAAAAAATAATTTTAATTTATCACCATTAAATTATTCCGTTAATAATCAATCATCAAATGATACAAAAATTCTCCTTGGTGATAATCCTGATCGATGTGATAAAAATTTAAAAATAATATTTTGTCTATCATTTTTAGATTATGATCTTAGGGCCGAATGTTTACATAGAAATAATAAGGATAAACAAACAAAATGTACAAGTGAATTATTTTATGAATTAGATTTTAAAATAACAATCGATGACTTTGATAATAATTCAATTCCAAAGGAATTGTATTCAATTAATTCCAATCAATCAAGATGTATTCAAAATCTTTTCAATAAAGAATCATCAAGTGATGAGAATATAAAAGAATTTCTTCAATATCAAATTTTAATAGGCGCCATTAAACATGGATTTATTGATATTTTTTTTAATTTATTACCACCATTTTGTAATGTTAATACTCGATTGGATGATAATTATACATTATTGCATTATGCCTGTGAATATGGACATTTATCAATTGTTAATGAATTATTGAAACGCAATGCAAATGTTAATGAAATTGAAAATAAAAATAAAATGTCACCACTTCATTTATCAGTTATGAGAGATTCGGTGAAAGTTACAAAAATTCTATTGGAAAAAAATGCTTCTATTGATTCATTTAATGATAAAAATGAAACACCACTTTTTTTGGCTATTCAAGAAAATAATGTAAATTGCATTCATTTACTTTTAAAAGCTGGCGCTAATGTTAATTCAATTACTAATAATAATGAAACACCATTACTTAAAGCTGCAATTAATTGTGATTCAACTATTGTTGAAATGTTATTACACTATGGTGCAATTTTAGATGAAAATAGATCAATATTTGAAGATTTAATATCAATATATATTCGTATTAATACAATATTTTTATTATATAAATATGGAGCAAGTGTAATTGATTTGGATCCAAAATTATTTCAAAATACAAGTTTATTTATAGCATTAAAATTAGAATCAATTGCTGCTAGTTCAAGGGATTTGTCATTTTATTATCAAGATTACCCAAAAATGATTGAATATCATGGCGAATGTCGCGCGGAAATTGAAAAAATGAAATTAATGAAAATTAATGAAACTGATATGTCAATATATAATTTATTAATTATAACACATAGACGATTGGCTCGTTATATGAGAAATAATTTAATTTTCGATTTTTTAAATTCAATGGATTTTGAAATGATATTTCCAAAATATGCCAAAAAATTGAAAACTTGTGTAATAAGAGGAAAACTTGAGAAACAATTAATAGAATTGAGTTACAATTGTTTAGAGACTATTTTCAAAAATCAATTACCCACTATTGTTATAAGTGAAATTTTATCGTATTTGGATACTGCAGATCTACATCGATTAATCATCGCTTCACCTATTGATCCAGAAGAAAAAAAATTGGTGCAATATAAATAGAAGAAAATAAAAAATTCAATTTTGAATGCCGATTCGATTCTTTAAGAGAAGTTTTGATACAATTTTATAATTTATCAAGTTTTATTTTTACCAACAGTATACATTGAACAAAAATTGTATATTTATATTTGAAAATTTTTATCATTTTCGGAATTTTTGTTTTAAATGGAAAAAAAAGGAGATACGTATTTTTTTATTTTGATTTTAATAAATATAATTAAACCGCAAAGTCTATGAATTTTTACATATATTTTATATGTAAAAAAAAAATTCTTACTATAGAATTGTTAAAAATCAATATTTTTTCGACCACTTTTCTTCCAAAAATGTTGAAAGAATAACGTACAATTCATTATTTATAAATTTTTATTGCTTACTATTTTTTAAACGACCTCATAAACTTTCAAAAAATATGGGGTCTGTATTTATTACACGAACGGAGAATTTTAAGCGTGATACAACGTCTTTTTTAATTAATTATATATCATTTTTATAAGATTTTTATTTTTTGGAACGCATGATTATGTTTTAAAAATCATTATTTAGAATTTTCATTTAATGGAATTTCATTTAGTCATAATTATTTTTGTAGTCGAATTTTCTATATTATAGAATTTTTATTTGCTCGAATTTTCACTTAACATAATGGAGGCATTTTAAAGAATTTTTATTGTGTAGAATTTCATTTCATAGAATTTTCATTTGTTCGAATTATTATTGTAAACGAAATTTTATTTAACATAATTTTTAAATACCGAATTTTTATTTGACATAATTTTTATTTTAACGAATTTCTTTTTATCCACCTTTTATTTAAAAGTATTATAATTTTACTCAATTTTAATTTATCAGAATTCTCATTTAACAGAATTTTAGTTATTCGAATTGTTTAATGTCACAATTTTTAATTTATCGAATCTCCATGTGTCAGAATTTTTATTTACACGAATTTTTATTTAATAGAATTCCTAAAACAGAGAATTTCCATTTGACAGAAATTACAAATAGCCGAACAAGCAAGCGACAGAAAGATTTCGGCGCCAATTTTAAAATAAACCAATCACAATTTTCTTAATAATTTCTTATTGGTCTATTTTAAAAACTGCGCCGAAATCTTTCTGACGTTTGTTTGTTCGGCCATTTGTAATTTCTATCAAATGAAAATTCGCTGTTTTAGGAATTCTATGAAATTAACAATTAGTGTAAATAAAAATTCGAACAAATAGAGATTCGTTAAGTTAAAAATTCTGACGTTAAATAATTCAAATAACTAAAATTCTGTTAAATGAGAATTCTGATAAATTAAAATTGAGTAAAATTGTAATACTTTAAATTAAAAGGTGGATAAAAAGAAATTTGTCAAAATAAAAATTATGTCAAATAAAAATTTGGTACCTAAAAATTATGTTAAATAAAATTTCATTTACAAAGACAGTAACTCAAATGCTAATTCGAAAAATGAAAATTCGTCTAAAAAGAAATTCTGTCAAATAAAATTCATACAAATGAAAGTTCTAGCTAATGATTTTTATGAGATATTCATGCGCCCCGGATTTTTACTTAACCGAAAAATCACAGAATTTTTTAATTGATAGAATTTTCATTTGCCTAAAATTGCAAATGGCCGAACAAACAATCGATAGAATTTTTAAAATCAACCAATCAAAAATTATCCATAAAATAATTGTGCTTGGTTGATTTTAGAAATCTCGACGAAATGTTTCTGTCGACTGTTTAGGGTACGGTCACACGACTTTTGGAAAAACCATTCTTGTCTTTCTCTCTCCTATTACAGACGCATAAGTTTGTCTCACTCTGCATTTTCCGTCTTTGGGAAATGTAAGAAAATGCAGAGTGAGACAATCTTATGCCTCTGTCTTAGGAGAGAGAAAGACATGAATGGTTTTTCCAAAAGTCGTGTGACCGTACCTTTATTCAGCCATTTGCAATTTCGGACAAATGAAAATTCTATCAATAAAGAAATTCTGTTAAATAATTTTTCGGAAATGAATTTTTGGTTATGTATAAAAATTCTGTAATATAGAAAATCGTTTTGATGAAAATTCCGCAAAATACTAATTCGAAGAAATCAAAATTCGGCTCAAAAATAATTATGGAAAATGAAATTCCACAAAATGAAAATTCTAACTAATGATTTTTAGAATATATTCATGCATCCTTTTATTTTGTACTTTAAACTTAAAATTAGAATATAATGTAATAAAGAAATATATTTTTATTTGAAATGAAAGTTTAATTTTCAAAACGAAATGTAAAATTAAATTTTAAATCTAAAATTAGTTATATAATAAGATACTTATGATTATCCAATTATTATTATTATTATTACTATTATTATTATTACTATTACGATTATTGAATAACGAGACGAAAAAAAAACAAAGTAACAGCTCCGACAACCAAGTTTGTTTCCACCATTATACATAGAGGATACTGTCAGCGCTGTACTATAACATGTAGTTAAATCTTTAACTGGTCGGTAATATAGAAAGCTATAAAAAATTTCATTTCCAAATATGAAAAAAATAAATGTAGCATCGAGACTAAACCTAAAGTAATCGAATAACACAATAGTATATTGTGCATCTAGGGAGGAAAATGGTTGATTTCCGCGAGTGTAACTAATTTTTACTCAGCTTGTATATCTATACATACAATAGATATAGATATACAAGCTGAGTAAAAATTAGTTGCTACGCTGGTTGTAGAGGCGCTGAATGTTGTCATTTCTATTCAATGGAGTTGCCCGCTCCTGAGCGAGAACTGCAAATACACGAGACGGAAATCATTTTCCTCCCGAGTTGAACATACTATTTTTTCTAACACACATACCGAAAGTACATATGACAACAAACTTACAGAGACGCCAAGCGGAAAAAGTGTACACTATTGTTTACGTGATTATCGATTTTAAATTTGATTCGATATATCGAAATATCAACATTAAACTTAAACATCGATATTTCGAATCGATAGTTTGACAGTAAATTCAATAATTTACTGTTCTTGTTCTTCTCAATGTTCTATAAATAACAGAAATAAAAATTGACGTTACGGGGAGGGAAAGTTACATTCCCTCCCTGCTAGTGATGTCACAGGGAGGGAAAGTACTTTTCCTCCCTCGCCGGGAAAGACATACTTTTCTCCCCCTTTACAGGTAAGAAATGGTGTACTTTCGGTGCGTGTGTTAGAAAAAAATATTTAAATAGCTTTCGAGAAATCGTTTTCGATATGAATGCCAATTTTTCTGACTGATTCGGGTACGTTGTCACACGTCAATATGAATTATATTTTTTTTAAATTGCTTATTATTAATTTTATATTGATTTGTCAACTGGAGTTTTTTTTATTTTTAACTAAAATAAGTATTATTATTTATTTACATATGAAATTTTGAAATTGTTTAAATATTTTACAATTGTTATTGTTTAACTATTTTTCAAATTCAGATGATTATCGTTTTTTCGTCATTTTTCAATTTTTATTTGCGTATTTCTGTAAAGAGAAAATATATAATTAATGAACAAAAAATAAATTAATTTAAATAAACTGTTTTTAGTTTTTTTTTATTATCTCCCGTTAGAAAAAGATAATCTCGCCGCTGTTTCCAAAAAATCTTATGTTTTTAGATTTATTAGTATTTTGTCTCTATAATTTTAACCCCAAACCAGCGGCCTTTTGAATAAGAATTTGGCCCAATTTTGAGGTTATGTTTACATATTTTTTTGGTATTTTGGTCCTGAAAATTGACAATGTTAACTTAATCTCCAATAAAGCACCATATGAAAATTCGATGAATTAGAAAATCTGCTAAAAGTTCAGGATAAATATAGTAATTCTATAAAATATAAGAATTTAGTTATAAATACAAATTCTTTGATATTAAAATTGTTCTCATAAATAAAATCCACTTTATTTAAAAATTCTGCTAATAATATAAATTCGATTATTTTTAAACAAAAATTTCAACAATTCTAATTTGGGGAATATTTATGTCAAGGAAACAAGTTGACAATTACTGTGTAAAAAAAATTTTCTTTTCGTTATGATAAGAGTTTAAAATTTTTTTAAAAAGTGATAAGACATGTTATATTAGGTCATTTATCTTAGAAAATTATTTTCTATATTTTATCGCATATACTGACAATATTACCATTGAATTTTTATAAAATAATAAAAAGTCTTTGAAATCTGAATTATTTTTTATTTTAAAATTGTCTATTTTTGTATTATAAAATATTTTCATCAAATTTCTTATAAATTTATTGAGAAATTTAATTTTTTAATTGAATAAATTAAAAATTCGCAAAATAAATGTAAAGTTTATTTTTATTTTAGCGTTTGAATATTATTGTATTAAGAGAGAATTCTGTGATATCTAAATTAATGAATCCTTCATATTCATCGGCAATTCCAATCTTGTAGGCTAAACCATTTCTGAAAAATAAAAATAACAATATAAAAGTAGAAGTATAAAGATAAATTTTCAAGTAAAAAATAGAACAGAGTGAAAATGCAAATTTTTATTTAAATATTCAAGCTGTGAAGAAACAATTGCTATTTGACTATATTAAAGGGGAAAAAAAATCATATATTTAATATAGAAATATGTTTCATGTTTTCAAAAGGTTTTTATATCTTTTAATTTCATTGATTTTTAACCTTTTAAGGTACGAATTAATAATCGCAATACCATTCTTTAGTCATATATTATTTTTACATTTTTAAAGTCGTTGATTACGAATTCGGTGTCAGATTTAAAAAATTCAAAATGGCGGATTCAATATGGCTGACGACTTTTGACAAAACTTAACGTATTCATTTGAAAATAGTTACTCGGAGGTTTTCTGGGTCGCTGATTACGAATTCGGTGACCGTTATTCAAAATTCAAAATGGCCGATTCAATATGGCGAAAGAATTTCAAAAAAAATCGTTCGGTATCGCTTGAAAATCGTCACTCGGGAGTTTTTGGGATCGCTGATTACAAATCTGATGTTACTTTTTCAAAATTCAAAATGGCGGATACTTTTTTTTTTAATTTGACGGTTTTCCTTGAAACTCGTTATTCAGGGGTTTTCAAGTTCGCTGATTACGAATCGAATATTAGTAAATTGAATTGATTTTTAATTTTTCTATCCACCATATTGGAACCGACAATTTAAATTTTGAAAAACTTATATCAGATTCGAAATCAGCTACCCCGAAAACCCCCGAGTAACGATTTTCAAGCGAATCCGAACGATTGTTTGAAAATTCGTCTGCTATTTTAGATCCGCCATTTTGAATTTTGAAAAACTGACCTCAGATTCGTAATCAGCGACCCCGAAAACCCCCTAGTAATAAGTTTCAAGCGAATTGCATTTGATTTTCTAAAAGTTATCCGCCATATTGGATCCGCCATTTTGAATTTTAAAAAACGGATAACGGATTCGTAATTAGTGACCCCGAAAACCCCCGAGAACTCATTTTAATGTGAATTGCATAACATTTTCAAAATGTCGTCCGCCATATTGGATCCGCCATTTTGAATTTTGTAAAACAGACATCATATTCGTATTTAACGACCTCAAAAAAAAGGGCGAAAATAATTATCAAATCTTTATCTGAATTAAAATAATTATAAACTGCTCTTACTTGTTATAAATCACAACAACAGTCTCTTTCTGTGGTGTTTCGAAGGCAAGAACTTGAATAGCGTCAAACAGTGGCTGCAAATTAATTCTTGTATGTATTCTAACTGATCCAGGCGGTATGAATCGACTAAAATGTTGAATAATGTAAAATAAAGGAAGCTTGTAAAACTGATCGTTTTTCGCATCGACAATTATTGAAGTGCCGTGTTTCTTCTTTGATAAATTTGGTCCTCCATCTTTGTTTAAGGCTGGATTCAAATTTATCCAACCAACAATCCAGTGTTTAAAGAACTATAAAAAAAAAATTCATAGAAATTGATTCATAATCAAAATGGTGTGTTCACTTTAACTTGTCAGGTAAAAAAGTATCGTAGAAAAAAAATTAGTTTTACATCGCATAAAAAAAGTGAAAGAATTATTTTAAAATGAAATTACCGAAAACATTTCCAGAATATAATTAACTGACTGATCCCAACAATTATAGCATGTTTTCTTTCTGAAAACTTAAAAATTTTCTTTTTAATTTGAAACTTTTTGTTCTTTTTTTTTATGAATTCGAAGAATTTTGTTAAAAAAATATATACTTACATTCAGAGGCTTCTGTCATGAGAATATATTTATCCGGATAGTTTTTGTGAATTTTATCAAGAACATTTTTTCTTGTTATTGTAGTGTAATGATAGTGAATAGCAGTTCCCTTAATAAATGGTTTGGCAATTTGATGTTTCATTACTTTTTTCACGTACCAAGACACTGAATCAAGGGAATCATCAAGAATTAGTATTCGAGTTTTATTATGTACTGAGTTACTTAAAGATGGTCCCAAATTTCTGCCAATAAATTTTGCTGCACCAAATGGTGTCCATGCCATTGTCATTTCGTGTGTTACTGGATTTAGAGCATTTTGCGGTTCGTTACCTATTGAAAGACCCCAAAATTCCATGCCAAATTTATTGTATGCATCCAAAAATTTTATCATATAATCACTAAAAAGTTGATAGTACTCTTGTCGCAATACACCTAGGCAACAGAATTTACATTTTGATTATTAAAACGTCTTTTCTTTACGTAATTTAAGATTCTAAGATAATAATATACCAAATCCTGAAAAAGATTCCTGAATTTTCATCCATTTTGGTGCAGACCAAGGAACAGCAATGAGTTTTAAATTTGGATTCAGTAACGCCGATTTTTGCAGTAGAGGAATTTTATAATATAGATCTTCGGGAGCAAGTGCAAAATGCTCAAGGGTTTTGTCATTATTTACATCATCAAGAGAATATCTTCTTGTAGAAAAATCAGTCCCTCCAATGGGAACTCGACTAAAGCTATATCTGCTACCTTTCTCTCCAAAATAAGAGCTACAAGAAAAATTATACCTAAATCTTATTGTGGTTTTTAGATAAAAAATAATTTGATTGCGGCAAAATATATTTTATATTAGAATCACATGAGAAAAAATAATTGATTTTTTTGATATTTTCAAAGATCAAAGTTTTCTAAAGTGATTTTCCCTTACTGAATTAAATTGTCCTGAGTGGAAAGGCTAACACTTCTAATATTAATTGCAGCTGCATCTGTAATAGTTGCACCAAAACCCATAATTGTCTGATATTTTATTCCACGAATAATGGATATTATAGAACCATTTGTCTTCAATTTATTCATATAGCCTTTTGTATAATTCATACGTTCGCCAAATTTATCGCTCATGTACCAGTGATAAGTAAATTTTTCTGGTGGTCCTTTGTCTTCAATGAAATCACAGTATGTCGCATTGCAAACACAAGCAATATTATCGTGTCCGAAATTATGAGACATACACTTGTTAGCATTACCTGTTTAAAGAAATGTTTATTTTTTTTTAAACTCTTTTTCATTCGGCAAATATTACAAACCTGCAGTAATAAATGTAAAAATCACAACTGTCCACAGCATCATATAATTTTTAATTATCAAGAAGAATTATTCTATATTTGTTTGCTTTTTTTCAATTATGTAGCGGTACTATATTCTGACGAAAAAACATTTTCTGCATAATTGGGTCGTGGAACAAAAAAAAGAACGATTAGCTCCGGTGATGAATTGCAAAAAAGTAAAAGTTGATAATTTTTTTAAAAAATATTGTTCAATTATATCAACATAGATAAGAAGCATACAGTTTTAAAAAAGGTAATTTTTCGAATGTTTTCAATTTTCTTAGATTTTTAGGTAAAAAAAAAATATTTGCAAAATAGTAACATAAACGTAACCATAAACCAGACTGTTTCGGACTAATTCCTGAATTTTAACCAGCAGGGTTCAGCCTTTAACTATATTAAAGCTTTTAATATTTCATATTTTAGCCATTTATCAAAAATCTGACGATATCATATTTCGGATGTTCAGTCGTACAAAAATTCTCTTCGAAGTTACATATTCATTGGTCGGAAAAAGTTTATAATTGCAGGCCTATATTATTCAGGAACAAGAAATTGCAGGAGAAATCAAACAAGTTTGTGTAAAAGAATATCGTTTAATAAATATTATTCTTAATTCTTATGTTTGATTATATAATTATGGTCATTAATTTTATATGTAAAATGTATCCTATTACTTATTTGCCAATTTATCTAATAGACAATATCATTGTACATACGGAAACCGTTACTCGAAGAACCTACACAATATAAAAAATATATTTATATATATATATATAAAATCTATTGTGAAAGGTCATTAATTTTTTTTCTTTTCAAAAAAATATACTTCTTACCGAGGCGAACGTTTGCAAGGATAATGCGCAAACTTTTCCTACATTTATTTTGCACAGATTAGAGGATCTTATGAACACAACAAGAAGAGATTTTCTGAGTGCATCTGGCATTTCGTACCAACAACTGTTATAACTAATAAAATTAATTTTTCTTTTGTAACTTATATCCTTGTTGAAAATCTTTGTACAAGATCTTGTACAAAAAAATGTTAGCTGAACTTGTACCATTCCTAGTCATGAACTTGAAATGAAATGTTCTTGTACATGTTTTTATGCAGGATTCATGTATACATTTTCTTGTACAAGATCTTGTAAAGGTATATTCTGTAAAGATAATTAATATTATTATTGTACATGAATAGACAGAAGGTTATAAATGAATAAATTAAGAAAAAATATTTTTGTAAAAATGATTTACACATTTTCAGAGATTATGTAACTGTGATCCATTAATCTTTGAGCGGGAAAACTATTCAGGTAGAAAAGACCAACCATTAGTAATCCAAAGTTTGCGCACCTCATAGCATCGTTGATTTTGTTCAAATTAATTATAATCTATAAATATATAATTGTAATTAAAAATATTTCTTTCATTGATTTGTTCTCTAGTTTAAATGAAAACTAGAATATAGTTACCTGTGATGCGACAAATATTATTATTGCAGCATTAACTCCTACAATAAAGAAAAAATATACAGAATATACATCATTTAGTCTATCCGCAAATCTAGAAAAAATAGAGTATTTTTTAATTTAAACATTTTATCTCACATATAATTTATTCATGAACAAAAAAACTAACGTTAATGCATCGTTGTACTTGTGAATGCAAAAGCAGATTTCTTCATATACTAGTTCGTTATAACGTTTTTCTTTCAGTCCGCTATACTTGCTTCCGATCCTCTCAAACCGATTGCTGTTAAATAAATTCAATATCAACGTTAAAGGCGCTTTGTACAACTTCTCCGTTTCTGAGTATATAAAGAGTTTTCACCAATTTTGATTGGCTTTGTAATGGAAAATTCTCAAGAGAGCCAATCAAAATTGGTCAAAACTCTTTATATACTCAGAAACGGAGAAGTTGTACAAGCGCCTTTACGGATCATTCACAAATTACGTCACACTCATAGGGTGAGAAAAAAATCAAATTTGTTTGTATCAAAACGTGACATTAGGAAAAGAAGAGTCTAAAATTGTTACAAAATAGCGTGCGACGTAGTTTGTGAATGATCTCTAATAACACAGCCACACAAAAAAAAAAGTTTTGATCTGGGGGTCTGACTATGCCTACTTTATGTTTTTTGGATCGCTGAATCCGAATTCGAGGTCCGTTTTACCCCATCAGATCAGGATTTTGAGAAAACCTCAAGAAACCAATATGGCGGACACTTTTTTGAAAAATTCATCGGATTTGCCTGAAACTCGTTACTCGGGGGTTTTTGGGGTCGCTTATCACGAATCTAATGTCAGTTTTTCAAAATTCAAAATGGCGGATCCAAAATGGCTGACACATTTTCGAAAAATTCATTGGAATCGCCTGAAACTCGTTACTCGGGGGTTTTCGGAGTCGCTGATTACGAATTTGAAGTCAGTTTTCAAAAATTCAAGATGGCATCGTAACAAATTTCTTAAGTGTATCTGCCATGACGGCATTTTTCGAAAAAGTGTCCGCCATCTTGGATCCGCCATCTTGAATTTTTGAAAACTGACTTCAAATTCGTAATCAGCGACTCCGAAAACCCCCGAGTAACGAGTTTCAGGCGATTCTAATGAATTTTTCAAAAAAGTATCCGCCATTTTGAATTTTTAAAAACTGACATTAGATTCATGATCAGCGACCCCAAAAACCCCCGAGTAACGAGTTTAAGGCAAATCCGATGAATTTTTCGAAAAAGTGTCCACCATATTGATTTTTTGAGGTTATCTCAAAATCCTGATTCAGCGATCCAAAAAACATAAAGTAGGCATAGTCAAACCCCCAGATCAAAACTTTTTTTTTGTGTGGCTGTGTAATTTCGTATAAATCTTTAAAAATATGCGTTGAAAAATATTTAATGTTGAAAATATTCTTACCCAACAGCGGCAAGAAGTCCACAAGTATGTTGCATAAGTGACAAATATATTGTATAAGCAGAAACAAAAATTGTAGAATTCACATATAAAATTAGCAAATTATATATTAACATCCAATAATAATAGTCGTTGTTAAAAGTTAAATACTCTTCTGGTACTAGGAATGAATCTATCGTTTTGTTGGATTTTAGAATAAACGAGTGATAAATTATTGGAGTAACTCCTAGAAGGGTATAAATAATAGCAGAAGCACAATAAGCAGCTATAAACATAAAAAAAATATTTTATTACAATATATAATTATTTTAATCCTCATAATAGATAAATTTATTAACCTGCGTATATGTAATTAATTCTTTTTCCTTCTTCTGATAACTTTTCAAGTAGTTTTATCTGTGGTTCATTATACCAAAGGCGCCAATCATATGAGATTTGTAAAAACATTTTATTTATCTTAATCAAAAAAAAAAATATAGCTTGATTTTCGGTTTACGGTTTGCAATAATTTATAGAATCAAAAAAATTGATATTAAAAATTAATTATTTAAAAAAATTTAACATAAAATTCAATAAAGGTTTTCATATGGAATCCCATGTGAGTATTTACAGTAAGGGGTATCTTTTTAACAATTACCTTTCCATCTTTAATAACAATATGCAATATATCGATTATACCTAATATAAAAATTGAAATAAACGAAGTAGAATAAATTACTGCATCTAAATCTTCCCAATTGCGAATAGTATAAAGAATCTGAAAATCAGTAAACAAATATAAAAAGTTGAAACTGTTTTCCAATATGTGATTATAAATTTCCCTTAACTTTATGTTAATTAAATTTTATTGTTTTACTATTAAAATTATATTATTTAAGAGGAAACTATATGAAGACAACAAAAACTTCTTCTAGTAACTCGGAAATTGGATTACTTCCTTAATTATCGAATCACAGGTTTTGTTTATACTTTTTAATATTGTAGTGTTCAAACTATTAAATAAGCTTGTCAGAAAGTGTTTCGAAATTTACAATACTTTTTTACATTCATACAATTTTACTGGAATACGAGAGTAATCCTCAAATTCTAATCTGAAATCAAAAGGTGAATAATATTTTTAAAATTAATTCCTGAGTTCAGTCACTGTTAATGCTGTTATTCCAGTGGGCACATAACGTTTTATGTTCCAATTTTTAAATAACGTTCTGAAAAAATGTTCCATGTTCGCCAAATGTTCACGGAACATAAAACACCCTTAGAATCCCGGGATGAAAAATGTAGGTATTCCAAAAGTAAACTTGAGTCACATAGTATTCGAATAAGTATTCCTCCGTGCCAAAAGGTAGACTGTGGAATACTTTGAGAAAAGTTACTAAAATAAACTGATGTAATACTAAGCTCTACCACAAAGAGAGGAGAGTATACCGTTCGTATACATTGGGATATTATATGAATTTTTCCAAATTATCTTGTAATGAACTCCAACTATAGTGTTCTAATGATGTCTAATAGATGTCGCATTGTCATATAGACAAAAATTCTTCTTAATAATAAATGTGAATAAAAATAAATAATATTAAATGATAATTTATTCATTGAATATTTTTTGATACATATAAACACCAAATATATACAAATTTTTTTTCTTAAATAACGTAATTATACATAATGTGTAATACTTAATTAATTAATATACAAGTTAAATAAATAATTAGATAAACATAAAGAAAAATAACTATCTGAATTAAATATTTGAAGCGATAAGTAATATGGTATATCCTTTATAAAACTCATAATTCCGTACCTGAAAAAAATTTCAATTTTAAGTTGCATTCTAATTAATGATATATTTAAATATTTTAATGTTATTAAATTATTTTTTATAAACAATTTTTTTGTTATAATATTTTATACAATAATTTATTAAATGAACTATTACAATTGGCAGTGAATACAAGGTTAACATTTATAATATTAATATTATATTATAATATTTAATAAAATATAAATTTCTGGTTAAGTAAATAAAAAATATATGATAAACTTACTTGATTTGCTTATAATTTATTCAGCATATGATTTCGTACCATCCGATGGGTAATTTGTCATTAATGAATTGTGTCACTTAGTGCAGGATTTTTTTAGTTAAAGAATTATCTTAAACTTCAAATTATTTCGTTTAATAAAAAACTTTGAATTTTACATTAAAATAATAATTAATGAATAAATTCTCAATAAATTTTTCACTTTAACTCACTAACTACAGACTGTAGGTTCCCCTTCGTTCCTGGCAAATGCTAGAAAGCAACTGAAAACTTGAAGGTCTGCCTTAGAAAAATTTTTGAAAAAATACTAAACATTTAAAAACATTTTCTTCGTCTCTTTGCATCTTCAAAATTCATACATTTTCTATCTAAATAAATCTATAAGAAAAAAAAAGTACCGAAAAACTCATAAAATAGGACCTTTTGCATCGAGAAACCCTTGACTGGTCATCCTAATGCAAACCAGATGTGGCAAACCTTTAAAAACGAAAAAATACTCCAATCTCTACTTTAGAGTAAAAATATTTTGCAGTATTAATAAAAAATCTTTCTTCTTGTTATCACTTATGTTTAGTAGTTCTTACTCAAAATATAATACTAAAATTTAAATAAAATACAGTAAATCTCAGTTGATTATGTATTATTTTATTTATTTATTAGTGTCATTCTAATTTTTTACTTCTGCCATCTATGTGTTGTATCACCAATTAAGTATCCAAAAATTCAGAGACTGCAGTATTCATTTTATTTACTCCGGAAGATGTTCTTACCTTTAAGAGACTTCTGAAGACCTTAGAGATTACTCTGAACACTTTGGTATACTTAGGAAACTAAGATGATCCATTTGAAGATACAGCTTATTGTTAGTTTACTCAGTGTACTGTCATATGCGTTTCGAATATTACGGAAGACGTTCAGGTATACATTGGAGATTATGTATACAAGTTATAATACTATTTGGTATACTCTATATACTTTCAATACCGTTTGGAATACTATTTCGAATATTCCGATTACTGCGTTTACTTATTCGAATACTATTCATTTTATCCCAGGATATTATTTTAACAGACATGTACATTGTAAAAATAATTTAGGAACATTGAAACAGAGTACGGATACATAATATATTAGTGATAATAAAAAAATTCCTCTTTGAGTGCAACTAAATCCAGAATTAGTCCAAATTAGGGTAGAGTCAAATGCATCAAATTATAGGAGATTAGCGGAATATGTCACTTATTTATAGGCCGCAGCATTTGCGTTGAGTTTCGTTACGCAAAACGCAACGCAATTAAAATATTTTTTCAACATTTTTAGAAAGTTAATGTCCACTCAAATAACGTTCTGAAAATATTTCATGTTCGCTAAACGTTTTCGGAAAATAAACGTCCTTAGAATATGTTATTTTAACAGACATGTATATACGTTCTAAAAACGATTTAGAGAAACTTCATTGGAACATGAAGAGTTTCGTTTAGAGAAAAAGTTAATTGTACGCTTGCATCATGTGAACTGAATACAATATACATATGTTTTTGAATAAATAAATTTTATTTCTTTGACAGAAATATTCTTAATTTAAAAGTACATTTTTCAATATATCTCTTTCGAAATATATTTTTTTGTTCCATTGTACAAAAAGTATGTCATTTCGGGCACTTAGTGCGGATACGCAAAGTAACTGATTCCCACACGGAGTCGGTTGTGCCCTCAAATGACATACGTTTTGTTCACGTAGGACAATTCTATTATGACCGCGTAAATGTTTTTCTTACTTACAATTATAGCTAGATTATTACGCAAAATATATTATATTACTTATTTGCCATTTATCTAATGGACAATATCATTGTACATACAGAAACTGTCGCTCGAACAACCTACATAGTATAAAAAAATAAAAATAACAGTATGAAATGTGAATGAACACTATTATTATATATTAGTGCATGAAATTCCTTACCGAAGAAAATGTTTGTAAGGATAATACGCAAACTTTTCCTACATTAATTGTGCACATGTGAGAGGCTCTCATTAACACAATAAGAAGCGATTTTCTTAGTGCAACCGGCATCTCATACCAACAACTGTTATAACTAATAAAATTAATTTTTCTTCTTTTACTTGTATAATTATTATTATTATAGGTTTTTAAATAAATAAAATATGAATATATACAAAAATACTTTTGTAAAAATAATTTACATATTTTCAGAGATTATGAAACTTTGATCCATTAATTTTTGGGCAGGGAAACTGTTTAGGAAGAAAAGACAAACCATCAATAATCCATAGTTGCCGAATTCTATGGCATCGTTCCTTTTATCCAAATTAATAATGAACTGTATAATTATAATTATTAGAAACAATTTTTTTATATTTATTTGTAATTTAAATGAAAAAAAAAATATACCTGTGATGCAACAAACACTAAAATTGCAGCATTAATTCCAATAATAAAGAAAAAGTACACAGAGTACACATTATTTAATTTATCTGCGAATCTGAAAAAAGAAAATTTCTTTAATTTAAATATTTTACAGCACAATCTATTTATTTTTTTAGAATTTAATACTTTTTTTATTTTGTACTCTTACGTTAATGCGTCGTTGTACTTGACAATACAAAAGCAGATTTCTTCATGTACTAGTTCGTTAGAACTTTTCTCTTTTGATAAGATATATTTACTTCCAATCCTCTCAAACCGATTACTGTTAAAAAGAATATTTCATTTAAAAATGATATATTAATTTCTCTGAGTCAACAAAATAGAATAAGAGAAAAAGAATTCTTTTTACGTTTTATAGCTTCAGACACTAGAATTTTATTAAATTAAAAATTATAACACAGGCACAAATACATTTTAAAAAAATTAAATAGTAACATTATTAATTTACCGATAAAAAAAGAAATTGAAATTAAAATCACATCGATTGAGGTCGCAAAAGTCAGTTAAAAAATTTTTAAAAACACTTATTGTAAATAATAAATGGATATCCAAAGTGTTAATTTATGCAATATTTTTGAAAATTTCACAGGTATACATGGTTTTTTGTTTGAGATATCAGAGTGGTTTCCAATGTATTTTTGTGTGCTTACCTATCACTTTAAAAATTAGTGGTATTATATTTATATATTTTTAATAAAAAACACTGAAATTGGTGAAGAAGGTAAGATTTTATTAAATTTGAATAATTTACTAATAAACTGAGACTCTGATTAGTATTTAATATTAAAATAAGAGTTTTATAAAAAAAATACAAGTTTGAGCTGAGCTCAATGTACCGAGTGATGAAATCATCATTAATATTAATATTTCATATAATTGCATGCATTATACAATAATGACAAATGGATTCCACGGAAGATATCTTATAGAACAATAATATTTTTTAATGTTGAAAATATTTTTACCCAACAGCTGCAAGGAGTCCACAAGTATGTTGCACAAGTGATAAATATATTGTATAGGCACAAACGAAAATTGTTGAATTCGTATAGAGAAAAATTAAATTATAAGTTAATGCCAAATAAAAATAGTCATCATTAGAAGTTATATATTTTTCTGGCATTTGATATGAGTCTCGTGTTTTGTTGGAGTTTAAAATAAATGAGTAATAAATTATTGGTGCAACTCCTATAAGAGTATAAATTATTGAAGAAACACAAACGGCAGCTATAAATTTAAAAAAAATCTGATTTAATAACCCACATAGCACAATAATCTGCTGTAAAGTTAAGCGAATGTAGAAAGATGCCAATGCAGGTGTTGAAAAACATATGCGCAGATGTGTCAAATTTTTTGTAACGATTTTCAAGCAAATATGTTTAATTTTTAAAACTTCGTCCACCTTATCAGATCCGCCATTTTGAATTTTGAAAAATAGATACCGGATTCATAATCGCAGCGACCACGAAAACCCCTGAGTAATGATTTAAAAGCGAATCCGCACGATTATTTAAAAATTCGTCTGCAATTTTTGGATCTGCCATTTTTAATTTTAAAAAACTGACTTTAAATTTGCGGATCAGCGACCCCAAAAACCCCCCAGTAACAATTTTCAAGCAAATATGGTTAATTTTTTAAAATTCTTCCGCCATTTTGAATTTTCAAAATCTGACGTCTGATTTGTAATCAGCAACCCCAAAAGCGACTTTTTGTGGTTTATTATTGTACCCTAGAGTGTCAAAAGATGAAATATTTTTTGCAATTATATTTGCAAAATATTGAAATTATAATTTAGAATTAAAATATTGAATATTCTACAATTAAATCTTGATTTTTATGGAATTTAAGCAGCTGGTTCCCTCAGACCCAGGTCAGGCACGTGAGGCTTAACCCATATCCCCTTTCAGCAGAGTATAATCTGCTATGTGACAATTATTTTAATAATATTCAATGAAGATATAAAATATATTAACCTGCGTATATGTAATTAATTCTTCTTCCTTCTTCGGAAA